ACGGGCCTTGATCAGGGCAGAACAACTACACGCTCAAGGTCATCCTCTGACACTGAATTTTCCATCTCTTCCAGTGCAGTGCATGATACGCCAACTGGATTCGCAGTGGGCATATCAACTGGATTCACAGTAGGTGCATCAAGGTTCAGGAGAAAGCTGAATGGTGCTATATTATCACTGATTGCAGCAAGTCTCTCATCGATGTGGGCAACTTGTTTTGCCTGTGACGAGCGCTCGAATAATGGTCGAGCTGTGGTCCAGAACTCCGCAGGTTTTACCCTGTCCCCGTCTTGCTTCGCAATATCTCCGAGTCGGAACATGCACTCCGCTCTGCTGCGGTGAATGTCCATTTGTGTGAATCCCTCGAGAGCAACAGTCAAAAGGCTAAGTGCAGTACTCTGATCACCATCTGCTAGAAAAACATCCCCAAGGAATTGAAGAGCTTTGCAGGTATCGAGTTTCTGTTTCAGCTTTATGGCATGCACTAAGAATATCACTGTCGAGTTTGAAGAAGTTTGCCCCACAGCACTCCATTGCTGAAAATCACCCAGTCGCTGTAGACAGTATCTTGCCGCTTGACTGTCCCCTCCCCAAGCCGATTTAAGGCATTTCTGGAAAAGGGTCTTTGCTGTAAACAAGTCTCCTTCTCTCATGCTCAGAGATGCTCTGATGGTGTCACAGTACATTATTTCTGTTGAATGCCCACCCGTGTTGAATCTTGAGCTGGCCCCATCAATAGTTCGTTGCACATCATCTTTTGATGCACCCATCTCCACACCGATCTCGGCAAGGTTTAGCAAGCCGAGGCCATACCCAAACGGGTCCGAATCTAGTTCAATATTGGGAAGTACTTGCATTTGAATGTCCCAAGCTTCATTGTATTCGGATTTTAGCAGATGGCGTTCTCCCTGATCCCTCATGAAAGAATCATCTAATTGGCCTCCAGACAAGCCACAAAGCTTAAGGAGATCTCTTCCTCTTTGGCACAAGGCAGTGGCCCGGGGATAAGAGCCAAAGGAATCCCAGCACCTAGCTTCAAGTCGGAGACCTTGGGCCTCTTCATATAAGTCTGCAGAAATTCTGGCCAGTTTCTGTGACTCATAAGTATGGCTTTGTGCCGCAGAATAGTCCCCAGTTTGCCACTTGAGCCATGCCATCGCATTCAACAATCGTGCCTGTTTGCTGATGTCCCCAGTCGAAACTGACAATGTCAGTCCAGCTTGCACGAAGTGCATTGCCTGTGAAATATCCTGCTGAGTGACCTGATAGAACACGGCTACAGCATTATAAAATCGGCCTATGCAATAGTTGTCAGTATATATTTGACGAATCACTTGAAACACAACCCACATTTAAGATCTGGGTCATTGAAGTGCGTCAAGTGCCTGAGACCCTGACGCACTATGTCTTCTGCATTAGGAATAGGATGGTGAATAATTCCCATGAGGAGCTGTGTGATGTAAAACACCTCTACACTGTGGTTACAAGGCTCAGGCAGAAAGTTGGCAATCTCATTCATCAAGTAGCTTCGCCCATGGCCAAGCATTCTACTGAAGGAATCAAAGTTGCAAGTGCAATAGATGGTATTCACAAGCTCGGGATTGTCTCGTTGTAAACTTTTTACCAGGACACTCTGGATGTTGGCAATGTTTGGTGCTATTCTTGGTACAATCCCAGCACTTGAGGCGGTCCTACCATGTATGTGGAAGAGCTCAAGGAGGTTGTGGAAATATTTGACAAGAGGTTGAACCAGGTGAGCCCCAGGGGGGTGTATTTTGTGAACATATTCCCTGATAGGTACCAATACTTTCAGTCGTCTTTGACCATCAGTGTAGGCCAATGAGGTCCGAAGTAATGTGGCTTTGCATCCCAGAATATTATTAATTGGCAGCTTGCTTTGCACCAACTCTACATCAGAAATACCATCTGGGAGAATGGAGAGTAGACTCAGTAGTTCGCGTGATTCTGGAAAGGACATGATTCGATGGCTTGCAAGAGATAGAGAAATTGATAAATCCAAATTTGAACCCTTGTCATGGCCTTCAGAGAGTAGTGAGGTCTTTTCGATCTCCCAGCGATGCAGCACACTCGCAATGCCTTCATAGTCCACTAAATGGGCAATGAGGTCTATTGCAAGCGGCATGTTATCTGCAAGAAGTAGGATCCTGTCGATGTCTTCAAGAGCATAACCATCATCCACAATGTCAATGACCATTTTACGGGCAGCATCTTGTGACAAAGGCTTCAAGGGTTCTAGAAATGGCCGGGTCCACTGAACATAGGCTGGCCTCTCAGCTCCACGCATTGTGATCTAGAATTTTGTTAGTGTATTAACAAGGGCAATTAGTCTGCTCACAATCAATGCCAGCTGCTGAACATCTGCAAGCAAGGCCAAGAAATTCTCAACCTCTCCACGAGACTCTTTGGGCTCCCAGATCGTCTCCAGGTTGTCCAGGATCAACAAGGAATGGGGACTGCTGGCAAAATGGTGGATAATTGGTCGAGTGAGATCTTTTCCGGGCTTGAGTCCTACATGTGCCCCAATGAGGGCAGCAAGTTCAACACTACTTGCTATAGCATCACAAGCAACAAAGACCCGATTTTCATCATATTTTGAAGTGATCTCGGGGTGATGGAGGACAGCTCTTGCCAGGCTTGTCTTGCCCATGCCACCAGTCCCCAAGATGGCAATCCTGGGGCTCCCCTGGTTAAACATTTGAATGATTGCTGAGACTTCACTTTCGCGACCATGGAATATCTTGGGCTCAGGTGGCAACAAGGACAGTGAATTGGAGCTTCGGCCAGTCAGAATACATTCATCAACTATTGAACACACACACCTATTTTGAATACTGGAAAAGGCTCTGCTGATCTGTGGAAAATGGATTATTACCCGAGTTCACGAAAGGTAAAGAAGTACAGACCGATGATCCTCTATCCGAAGCAACTTCATCTGAGAGGGCTGAAATCAATTCCAGAACTTCTTGGTGCATCTTTTCTGCATATTGGCGCATTTCGATCACATCATTTGAAATATGGAGACCCTGAACCTGCATGATATTTTCAATTAGCAACTCAGTGCCTACAGCATGTGAATCCACCTTGAACACATTGAGGGCGTGTTCCAGTCCCTGACGGCAGTCCTTCAACAATGTGCTCATTTCAGCCTGCTGAAAGAATTGCTTCATTCGGCTTCTTTCCTGCTGAGCCTCAACAAAAGTGTGGATCTTTTGCAGGGTCCTGGGTAGATGTAAGAAACAGTAATAGTTGAGGAAGATAAGAGGAACTTACTCTGTGAATTTCCCCAAATCATACAACATGCTTGGTGATAATTTACCACCGGTATCAGAATGTATATGAAGGTAGATGATCCCATAGAGCAGTTCCTGGAGTTGCTCCAACATTTTCATACAATCATCCTTGTTTTTCTTGATGGTCTGCCAAATCTTAAAGAACTGTGAGGATACATCCAATGCAGGAATATACCTGTACAGCTATCAATAAAGACCGTGTAGTTATTGAAATGGGTCCCAAGAATGGTGCCATGAGGCTGTCGGAAACTACTTCTAGAGTTGCCACGGCAGCATCCAAGCATGTTACAATGTTCTTCAAGCGAATTTGAGCTACAGTGGGACGAGGGGGCATCACGACGATTGTCTAGTCTTCGTCATGCCAATGGGCGGACTTTATCATACGTGCCATGGGAAATTCAACACCGATTGGCTGCTAATTTACCACTCCTGGGGCCTGGATCTGCCCTGAGCACTTGATCAGCCTGGGTTCCACCGAAGAAGAAGTATGGTTCCTGCTCCACAGCAGCGAACACCGAAGATTTCTTGCTTCTATCGTGATGCCCGCTGCCAATCTGGCTACTTCCATAGGCACTGAAATTCTATCATTCTCTAGGGGCAGGTGTCATTCAATGACTTGCCTGACAGATCCAATGCTGATCAAGATATTAATATTAGATCCTCTCACCAATTGTCACTGCTCCGCTACTCGTCAAAGAGGCTGGATGGCGCCATTACAGGCTTCTCCTGCATCGTTGATGGTTTATCTATAGGTTGCATCTGGACCGTCCACTGGCGACCTGTTCCCTGCGCCGTTCTTCATTGTATTAGAATTAACTGTTTGTATACTCAGCAAAGCCAAACCACAATTGAAGCGCAAAGACTTTATCGGAGGAATTTGATTTGAGCAAGGAATTTCATAAATTTTACGATTAGCAAAGCCCACCGAGCCGTTTCTAGTCTAGCTTTTTTCAGGTAACTCGAGGTAGATTGGATTCTAAAGGGAAGAAAGATGCCAAGGAATTAAAATTAAACCCAGCAGAAACACGATTGAGAGTGGAATAAAAAGGTGAGAAGACTAGAAAGGAAATGAGCTGAACAGGCAGCCTCCGCAGAATTGCTATTTTTGGCACATTTCATGGAGTTTGCTGAGTGAACCTGGTGCCAGACCAGTGCTGCATACATGAATTGTTAAGTAACGATCCGAGTGCGTGCGACGCCTGCAGAAGCTCAAGCTCAAAGTAAATTGCAAATAATCCACCGAGCCGTTGCGTCCCTCGGTCAGTCCCTCCTGAGCTCAGACGATCACAGACGATCAGGTGCTCAAAGCTTAATGGGAGAGGTAAAAAGATCAAACTCTTGCAGATATGGCTCGTATCCGAATCGAATGGGCTCCTCATGCAGAGGTTTCTTGATGCAGCCGAAGATTTGCTAGCGTGGATCGTCCGCCACCGGGCCTTTTCATAGCATTTCCAGTCCCGCCTTTTATTCGAGTGAGTAATTCGGTGTACGTATGGGGGGTGGGAAATTAGTAACTCCCTTCAAGAATGGCTCGGGCCCGAGTCGAACGGGCTCCTCCTGCAAAAGTTGAGAAGTAGCGATGACCTATACTCTGAAGGCGTGGTGCCTTGTCCCGTCCCTCATTTCAATAGAGTGGAGAAAAGTCTGTTGAGAGAACTTCTTTTAAAAAAAAGGACAATAAAGTGCAAATGGCCCAGGCCCGAGTCGAACGGGCTTCCTCCGCAGAAACGTCTAGATCTGGCCGATTAGATTGTGTGGATGCACTACCGCTGTGCCACTGAGTCTCATTGCAGAACACGTTTACTCAATTTGCTGAGAGTTGTTGCGAACAAACCACTTGCCAGTGTCGGGTACTCAAACACCTACAAATTCCTGCACTGACTTCGAATTATACTCCCCGCGTCCTATTCTCCAAGAATAAAATGCAGAACACGAACAAAAGCCGCCACACAAAAGACGCGAACAAATGCGCACGAGATAGGGGCCGTCACGGCATCACGGCAAAGCTTGTCACCCCATCACGATAATGCGTCATGCGTGACTCATGCGTGACCGCGCCAATTACCAATCAAATCAAATTTCTTCCCCGTACTATAGTAGTACTGCCACCACGTCCTCCACATCGCCCACGCCGTTCTCCATGTCGCGTCGTCCCCAACACCGTTTCGAATGTGGCTGTCCGTCCCCGCGAGCGCGGCCGCGTCCAACCCGGCGCCGGAATTCTCGGCCAGTGCGTCTGACGACTCTCTCTTTGGCAAATCAGTTGTGTTGATCGAACAGTCCACTTGGACGCTCTTCGTACGTGGGTCCTTGCTCTGAATTGTACTGGAAGCTCAGATCAAACGTAATCGATTCAAGCTTGTGACCCTTTTCTACTGGCGCAATTTACCCTACAGCCGTTCTAGTTGTTCTCCAAGAACTTCTTAACATCCTGGATGTACCGCTCACGCTCCTCCCACATCGGAAGATGGCTCGCATTCTCGTAACGGATCCACTTGACCTTCGGGATCTTCTCAACGAACGGCTACACGACAAAGTCCTGCGCGAGGTCGTATTTCCCGTTAATGACCAGGTACGGCACACTGATCTCGTGGAGCCGGTCGACGATCGTCCAGTCTTTCAGCTGTTCCTAGCGTACCTTCAATCGGTGGTATCTCCGGCGGAAGGAAGGACTCACATCGTGATCGAGACGATCGGGTCCCCGAAGATGGGGTCGAGCCCGCCCGCCGCAACCCCCTTGGGCTGGACTTCCATCCTGCACGCATGGAGCTTGTACACCTCCTCCAGCGCGTCGTGGTATTTCTGCGGGTTACTGAACCCGCCCTTGAGCCCGCACGTCACTCGGGAACGTCGTCATGATCTGCATGTTCGACTGCCCCCACAGCGCCATCGCTGCCAACGAATTCGACAGCACGATGCCCTTGAGCCCGCGCGGCTTACGCTGCACGGCGAACTCCGCGGCGAGGATGCCGCCCCAGCTGTGCCCGAGCAGGACGAACGCGTCCTGGACACCGAAATGCACCAGCAGGTTCTCGAGCTCGGCGATGAAGAGGTCGATGGTCCAGAACTCCTTCGGCTTGTCGGGCAGGTGCGTAGAGCGTGCGTTTCCGATCTGGTCGTACAGAATGACGGGGTGCGGGGCGAGATCGCCGAGGGGCGTGAGGTAGTCGTGCGCCATTCCTATGCGGCGCTTTCAGTCCCTGGTAAACAAATCCGGGGTGCCATCCGTACCTGGGCCGCCGTGCAAGGCAATTAATGATGCCACGCTACGGTCGCCTAACGGCCCGAAGATCTTGTACCACGTCTGGTGGGTTTCCCTACTAACGGTGAAGGGGATGGTTCCTTCTTGCGGGATGGTTGCCATGCCGTCGCATATGAGGGGTAAGACGCAGAATGCAGGATGCAGGGCCCGTGTGGGTTCACGAGGGTTGGCGCATGTCGCGGGCAATCTAGTTTTGGGGCATTGGAACGGAGCGAGAACGGGGATCAACGCCGCAGTCTCAACGCCGCCGGGAACAGCATTGAGTGGCCCGTGGCATAGGATCGCAGGCTGAATATGTGTCCTTTCGGCTCGGTGGTTAGCTTTATTACGGTCCTCAGGGTGTATTGATGGACCAAGTTGGAATTTCTTCAACAGCCATGTACTGGACCCCCCTCGGATGCATGAGAAAAAATGACTGTACTATAAAGTATCAAGATCCTTTTAGGGACGTAGAACCCGTCTCAGATCCGAATTCTGCACCGAAAACCGATACGTACCAGCTTTTCAACATCTCTCTCCAACTTGGAAAGTTGTCATGTGAGGTGTACATTTGACACGTGGCTCCCACACCTTGCCGTCAGCGACGATGTCTCCAGCTGTACTTTCAGAGCTCGCCGCCGAGCTGATCTTCGCTATCTTTGCTTTCTGTGACATTTCCTCTGTCGTTTCGACTGGTCAGGTGCAGTCATTTCTCTCTCCGTCTGAAAGCCGTTAAAAAAACCTCACTGCATTTCTCAGACTTGCCGATATCTGCACGATCTGGCATTCCAAAAAAGTGTCTGGCTCGTCCTCCTCGGAGACCTTCAGCGCAGATCAATCCTTGATTCAGTTTACACTCCCCACCTCAATAATCTCTCCACCGACGAACTCATGAACCTTGTGAAGCGCCTGTTAAGTGGACCGAAGACATGGAATCCCCTCGATTCACACCGTACTCTCGAAGTCTCTAAGGAAATCATCCTACGTCCCGGATTTCCTTCAGGGCCAGGAGCGCGTCCCTGGGAAAACGAGACCAAACTACTTCCGAGTGGACGTTATCTGCTTTTCAAAAACACGGATATGCTCGAGCTGTGGGACGTCACAGAGCACAGATTGGTGTGGACGCACACTTCACAACTCTCTTCGAGCGCATGGATCCTTCTTCTTCAATTTACAGCAGAAGAGATCGAGGGCGGCGAGTCAGTCGTTGTCATGCTATGCGAACGCAGTATACCACACGATGGGGAAGACAGACGGAAGTGGGTCTACTACGCTCTATTCAGGGAAATCTTGATCTTCATGCGCTTTCAGCATTGTGGAGATTGTCGCCGTGAACGCCCACAAGGGCACGCATGAGCTCCTCTTACTCGCTCGCGTTCCCGGCACGTTTTATGAAAACCCCTTCCAGTCACCCGTCATCCTTGGACCACTTGCCGTTGTATCAGTAGACCAGAATTATCTCATTATCGATTGGAAAGCACGGACGTCGTTCGTCTTAGCTCCTTCCACGGTCGGTCAGGTTTCCACCCCCCAGTCGAAGTCCCACTGATGTTACAGACAGAAATCATGGTCGAGGATCGCGCTTATTCCCGGTCACATTATTCTGAAAACCATAATCAAGGTCACCGATGAGGGAGAAAAACTATATGAGATCCACATCATCTCCACCGACGCGCTGCAGACGCATTTGATGCCCGCCATTGACATGGAAGGGATCGACAATTTCAACACAGTCTCGCCGGACCAAATTACGAAGCTGATCACACTGCGCGATCCCGACAAATGGGACTCTTTGGACCAGATATCAGTGCACGAAAGTCCTCTGCACGATTCTGAATATCGAATATGGGTCTGTGGATCGACATATTGCGCTTCCCCCCCGTCATATAATCCTTCTTTGTGGTGCTACCAATTGTCGATTCCCGTTGGTCAGCCGCCTCGCTGGAAGCTGCGCGGGCTGTACGCGCCGAGCGAGAGCTGTGATTGGGACTGTGACCACACCTACTCCGGCCATGTCATCAGGAACGCCAGAATCATTGGCCCCGGATCAAAGACCGAGTCCGAGGATGTAGAGTTACCCAGAGCTGGAGATTTTGCGCAACTTGCGCCGCATTCTGGAGCCATAACTTATAATGCGCAAATAGCACCGTATTCTGGGGCATTGACATACCCAACAGACTCATCCATTGTAATCCAGTACTTCAAATAGAAATATCCTTCGGGTCTTCCCTTAGATCTCACGGGCACTAATAATCTTGTTTGCAGTAAGAATTTCGAATTATAATGTTACAATTGCAACCACGACAACTGTGGCTATAGTCTCTGTATCCCTGCATTCGCCGTGCTCACAAATAACCTAGGAACCCCGACCGATGCCGACTCCTGGAGCGATGCCCGTGTCCACTGTGGGTGACGATAACCGGTGGGCGTGAATGACCGCTTGAATATCCGTAACTACCGCCGTAATAACCGCCGCCGTACGCGTACTTGGGGTAGTAATGTTGGGTGGGCATTCCGTAGTAACTACCCGAAGAGCTGTGCCGGCGACTCGAGTGGTATCCATGGTGGTGCGAAGGGTACCCGTAGGAAGGGGCGACGCTTCTCATGCCCATGCCAGGGTACATGATGGAAGAGCTGGAGTGGATGTAAGGCATGTTGTTGCGTTTGGGATTGTGCGACAGCGATATGAGAGTAGGTGACGATAGGAAGTTGTTGGGAAGCAAGTTGGGTCGTGAAGGTCGTGAAAGTCGTAAAGATCGTCACAGAGTGTTGTGGAAGAGTTGAAAACGGGCCAGCCGTGTTGAATCTGGGTGCTCATCGCGAACAGAGACACCTTATATACTGCGAGGACGGCGACCGGGTAGCGTAGTCGACCGGTCTCCGTGCACCAGGCTCCGTCCTCCGTTGGCATGTTGAGCGGTGTTCTGCGGTGCAACACGGAATTTTGGTTGCCATAGCTAGATTCGGCATTGACGTCATCTCAGATCCCACCCAGATCTCTCAACTCCGCCGCTGATCGGCCAGCATGCCGACGCGGCTTTGGCTGTAGTCAGGACGAAGTTCCTTACAACCTCTCGGATTCTTGGGTGGGTCTAATGAAATCGGCAATTTCATTTTGGCTCTGTGGGATCCTCGGTAGCATAAATTGTGACCTATTACTACTGGTGGGGCCACGTTAGAGATCATGCTCAGCCGATCCAGTGCACTTGGGCTCTCCTTATTCATTACACCACTTCAATGGAGAGCTGACTAGTACTCTGATTAATCGCGATTCTTGAAGCCACCACTTCGTCACAGGCGCAAATGCAAAATCGATGGCATTCATTTCAATCTAGATATTTCTCTGCTACCGGAACTACGCAGAACCCGAGGGCAAGACCAAGTGGAAGCGCATACTATAATTGTTGAAACTGAAGAGCGTTTACGACGGGGGGCTAGAAAAAAGTGAGTGTGAGACGAGACGGTGTAGAAGGACGCATACACAGCGGGGACGGAGGTCGCGGGACCTGAGGAGAGAATAGACATCAGTTCTCGCATTCGTTG